CGGCGGAGCGGAGGCCCCGGACGAGGAGGAGGAGGAGCCGGAGCCGGCCGCGGTGGACGACGACAGGGGTCGAGTCCGGGGAACGGCAGGTTCTGGAAATCAGGTGAGACGAAAAACGAAATCCGAAAAATAAGGGCGAGAACGCGGCGGGATCCGAAAACGCAGTCGAAATCGAAGACGAGGGCTTTTGCTTTTTTTTTTTTTTTTTTTTTTCGATTCGGCGGCTTTTCGCGCAAGAACGGCGCGGGCGCGAACGAGACGCGAAAGCGCGCACAGCGGCCTCTCGCGTATCCGCGAAAACAAAAAAACGCTCGAATACGTACCTCCCGGAACGTAAATCGCGGTCCGCAGAAACGTCCGCAGGGCTACGTTTCCACAATGAGCCCGGGTTGGATTTTGATCAGTCTTACAACAACTTATAACCTTTAAAAGTTTGATAAAGTGACTTTTATTTACATTTTTAATAGTTTAAAGGGCTTTGTTGACTGGTTTGGTGTTGTATATAACGCTACAGAAGCCTTGTAATAAACTCCCAGCAGATTTTCAGTTGTTTCACAGCCTTATTTCTCTATACATTAATATATTATACATTATATAATTATTTCAAACAACTACAATGTCAATAAAAGTCACTTTCTTAAACTGTAGAGTTGAATTTTCAACATTAAATGTTGACAGAGCAGAGATCATCATCCCATAATGCAATTCAAAACTGTTAATAAACAGAAAACACTTATAAATCACTAAATACAGAAACTTAATTAACAGATATTATTGCCATGAAGCAAGGAGGCTTGTTGTTTTTTATTAGAAATAAAAAGAAAATTCAAACATTTTTTTTTCTGAACAATGTGAAGTTTATACGAAGTTTACTTTTTCAATTATGGGTTTATATCTGTGCAGAACTGTAAGATATAAACTTATAAAAGTAATTCTAAGAAAAGATCTATTAGTGAGATTCAAATCAACAGTTGCAATAGAAAATGTAGATTATGCACATTATGTTCTGACAATGTACTGTAAACTGATAAAACACACACAAAAAAGTGTTGTCAGATGTATATTCACAGGTCTGAGGAAAAAGTTGAGATATAAAATTAGATTATACTTAATATTTTACTCTTAATGCAAGAAACAAAAAGTGCCAGATGTGATACATAAATAAAGTAATACATGTCAAGAAATGTTCAAAAACAGTTAGAGATAGAGATATGTGAGATAGAAAGTTGCAATAACATTTATTATCCTTAATTTATATATCTAAATCTTTAAGATATTTAAATAATATATATTTTATTGAAATATATTAAAACAATACATTTTTCAAGAGTTCACAATTAGCTGATGATTGATTATAAAGTGTGCTTGTTATGCTGATCCTCGAGCCTAGAGCTCCCTTCCATTTGCAGGGCGAGAGGGGAGTTTGAGCGCAGGTCTTGAGATCTCTCCCCTTATTTAGAGCTGATGACAGATTAGAAATAGAGATTTACTGCTGGTAATGAGCGCAACTATAGTACTAATTTAGATTGATCAATTCACTTATGACACGTTTTTGGACTGTGGGAGGAAACCAGAGAACCCAGACGAAACCCACGCGAACACAGGGAGAACATGTAAACACAGAAATGACAACTAGCCTGTTTGAACCCCTATAAAGGGTAAGGTGGAGGAATAGGGGTGGAAAGGTGGGATTCTATAGTTATTTATGAGTTAGGAATCATCTGATTGGAAATCATGCATTAGTAAATACGGGACCAGCCTTGATCAATCATAAGCATGTGCTCCTCTTGAAATTAGTTCATAAATAAACTTTACAAAATATATAAAATATATAAAATATTTAAATAAAACAAATGATTTGATTTATTTAAAAAATCATTTTAAAAAATTTGAGATGTAAATTAATTAAAATATCTTGTAAAATCTGAATGCTCACTTTTACAATTAACATGTGATATATATATTTTCATATGTCTGAATTGTGAGATAGAAAGTTGCAGTAATCTTTATTAACCATAATTTAATTCACAAATAATATATTAAATATATTAAATAACTAAAATGTTTTAAATGCATCAAATATATATTTTTGCAAAATATGACAAATAGATATTCATTGAAAAAATCTTAATTGTGAGATCTGAAAGGTCAATTTTACTATTTACATTTAATAAGGTCACAAAAATGTCTGAATTGTAAGATAGAAAGTTGCAATAACCTTTATTAACCTTCATTTATATATTTTAATTAAATTCATTACATATTTAAATATACAAAATAAAATAATGTATTCAATGTATTAAATAAAACAACTAAATTAATTTAATTTAATTGATTAAAAACCCATGCATAAAAAAAATTGAGAGATAAATTTATTGAAAAATCTTACTTCTAAGATCTGAATGGTCACTTGTACTATATTTACATTCAATAAGGTTTCTCAATTTTTTTTAAATGTCTGAGTAGTAAAATAGAAAGTAAACCTTTACTTAATTTATAACATTTCAAAAATAAATTTAATAAGTAACATGTATAATTTAATTTAATTTAATTTAATTTAATTTAATTTGATTTAATTTAATTTAATTTAATTTAATTTAATTTAATTTAATTTAATTTAATTTAATTTAATTTAATTTAATTCAATTTAATTTAATTTAATTTAATTTAATTTAATTTAATTTAATTTATTTTATTTAGAAACACAAAAAATTGAGAGATATAAATTAATTTAAAAATCTAAATTTTGTGATCTGAATGGTCACTTTTATTAGAAAAAAAGTTTGTAAAATTCAGATTTAGAAAATATAAAGTTGCAATGACATATTTTAGACTACAGTACGTAAACTAAGAAAATAGAAGGATGATTTGCTCACTGAGTTGTGAGATGATTCAGAATTCAGAGAAAACAGTCTGAAGTTTTTAATAATGAATATATATATAAATATATATATTAAGGGTGTCACGATCCTCCAAATCCTCGATTAGATTACAGTTTTTCGATTCTAAAGTCACGATTCGATTCGAATTTCGATTATGAATAATTAATTAATAACTAATTAATTATTAGTAGCCTACCGTTTAAACTACCTGACTTGCATGGTCTTTGTTTTACCCATAAACAAATCATACAGTTAATGAATAAAGGTAAGTTAGACACATAATTACAACCTGTCAATCACTTTTTTCTGTGGGACTCGTAAATAGGCAGTGATCTGTGTCGATATAATGGCGTCGGTAAAATAGGTGCACAACCAACAGAAACCAGCCAACAGTATCTGAGGTGTTCGCTAAAATAACTAAGTACTTGTGTGAAAGTAAAAGATGGAAGCAGTCTACTGACTCGCTGACTGCCTTGACCCGCTGTCTCGAGCGCATGACAATGTGTGTGCGTGTGTGTCTGTGTGTGAATGAGTGTGTGTGGTCACGTGATGTGCGTTTTCAGCGGTAGTGAGGAAGATGGGCTGCTCAGAAATGCTACACGCCACTGTGGATGTGGATCATTGTCATTCTAAAATGCCATTTAAAAACAAAGACATATTAGTGTAAACAGGGCCTGAGTGTGTATTTTTCGTAAGCAGATTTGCAACGGGTGCGGGGAGGAGGATCGCGATGCGCCCATCGTCTATCATCCCAACCGTAATACGTTCATAGAAGAGCTTGCAAACTGTGTTTTTTTTTTTGTCGACAACACGAACGTTGTCAACATAACTCACTGGAAATCCAAAATGCTTACACACCGGCGACTTCATTGAAAGAGGAGAGGATTTAAGCTCTGTCGACGGGGCTCCTGCGTCTGCAGTTTAACAAGCACTTCAACAAGCCTGTTTTTTTCCCGCTTGGCAAGCCAAGCTGACGTGACATGAGGGCATGGCAGCATAGACGATTCTATTTTTTAATTCGATAATCGAAGTTGAGCATAAATTTCAATCGATTTCGATTAAAAATCGAAAATGAAATATATATATATATATATATATATATATATAAATTATCAGCCCCCCTTTTTTCTTTTTTTAAATATTTCCCAAATTATGTTTAACAGAGCAAGGAAATTTTCACAATATGTCTGATAATATTTTTTCTTCTGGAGAAAGTCTTATTTGTTTTGTTTTTTTTTCGGCTAGAATAAAAGCAGCTATTAATTTTTTAAACCCCATTTTAAGGACAAAATTATTAGCCCCTTTAAGCTATTTTTTTTTCGATAGTCTACAGAACAAACCATCATTATACAATAACTTGCCTAATTACCCTAACCTGCCTAGTTAACCTAAATAACCTAGTTAAGCCTTTAAATGTCACTTTAAGCTGTATAGAAGTGTCTTGAAAAATATCCCGTACAATATTGTTTACTGTCTTCATGGCAAAGATAAAATAAATCAGTTATCAGAAATGAGTTATTAAAATTATTATGTTTAGAAATGTGTTGAAAAAAATCTGCTCTCTGTTAAAGAGAAATTGGGGGGGAAATAAACAGAAGGCTAATAATTCTGACTTCAACTGTATATATATATATATACAGTTGAAGTCAGAATTATTAGCCTTCTGTTTATTTATTATATATATATATACACACACATACATACATACATACATACATATACATATACACACACACACACACACACACACACACACACACACACACACACACACAGTTGAAGTCAGATTTATTAGCCCCCGCTTTTTTTTTTCTTTTTAAAAAATTTCCAAACACAAAAAAAGTGCCAGAATGTTTTAATCTGCTAATATGAGGCTAATCATAACAGAGATCATTTGCATAAAGAAATAAAGACACAGTACAAAAAAATCAAAAGTTGTAATAAAAGAGTCTTGGAAACAAAGCAAAGTGACAAACCGGTCATGACATTACCTATGTGCGTCAGAGAGGCAGAATGTAGTATATCACTCCATTAAGTTAACATAAATCTAGAACATTTTCATCAGAGCCTGTGATCTGCATTCAAGAAAGTCAATAAGAATAAACAGCAATGACTCACTTTATTATTGGCCAAGTATAAATAGCTCAGCCTTTCCAGAATATCAAACCCTTCGTCCTCAAGGCCTGCACACAAACACACACACATGAGCACACGTTACTGCTTTACTTGCTGCACACACACATTAATGTCATGCCCAATTACGAGAATTACTAATAAGATTCATACATGGAGCATAAAAATATAGCATACAATAATTGCAATTTTTCAAAACATATTTATTTATTTATTATATGAATTTATTAATTGAAGTCATAAGTGTCCATTTTTAAAAATCGAGGATTAAACATAATCTATATAAACAAAAATTAAGCTGAATAAACAAATAAGCTTTTTATTGCTGAATGGATTCATTCACTCAGTCATTGATTTTCTTTTCGGCTCAGTCCCTTTGGTGTACGGATTGTTAAGGTAGAATATTTATTTTGTTTTATTTTATTTATTTATTTCATTCAAATTAGAATTTTCTATTTTATGGGCGAAACATACGCAAAAACATAATGAAAGATATACAGGGTGGGCCATTTATATGGACACACCTTAATAAAATGGAAATGTTTGGTGATATTAACGTCCTGTTTGTGGCACATTAGTATATGTGAGGGGGCAAACTTTTCAAGATGTGGGGTGACCATGTGGGCCATTTTGAAGTCGGCCATCTCGGATCCAACTTTTGTTTTTTTAATAGGAAGAGGGTCATGTGACACATCAAACTTATTGGCAATTTCAAGAGAAAAACAATACTGTGCTTGGTTTTATTGTAGCTTTATTCTTTCATGAGTTATTTACAAGTTTCTGACCACTTATGAAATGCGTTCAATATCCTGCCCATTGTGTTGGATTGTCAATGCAACCCTCTTCTCCCGCTCTTCACACACTGATAGCAACACCGCAGGAGAAATGCCAGCACAGGCTTCCAGTATCTGTAGTTTCAGGTGCTGCACATCTTGTATCTTCACACCATAGACTATTTCCTTCAGATGACCTCAAAGATAAAAGGTCTAAGGGGGTCAGATCGGGAGACCTTGGGGGCCATTTAACTGGCCCACGATGACCAATCCACTTTTCAGGAAACTGTTCATCTAGGAATGCTCCTACCTGACACCCATAATGTGGTGGTGCACCATCTTGCTGGAATAAACTCAGGGAAAGTGCCAGCTTCAGTGCATAAAGAGAGAAACACATCATCATGTAGCAATGTCAAACATCCAGTGGCCTTGAGGTTTCCATTGATGAAGAATGGCCAGCTATCTTTGCTGTCTATGGTGTGAAGATACAAGATGTGCAGCACCTGAAACTACAGATACTGGAAGCCTGTGCTGGCATTTCTTCTGCGGTGTTGCTATCAGTGTGTGAAGAGTGGGAGAAGAGGGTTGCATTGATAATCCAACACAACGGGCAGCACATTGAACACATTTTATAAGTGGTCAGAAACTTTAAATAACTCATGAAAGAATGCAAGCACGCCAAGCAAGCACACCACTGTTTTTCTTGTGAAATTTACAATAAATTTGATGTGTCACATGACCCTCTTAAGATTGAAAAAACAAAAGTTGGATCCCAGATATCCGACTTCAAAATGGCCACCATAGTCACTCAGAAAGTCGCTAGTTCAAGCCTTGGCTTGGTCAGTTGGCATTTCTGTGTGAAGTTTGCATGTTCTCCACATGTTGCTGTGGGTTTCCTCCAGGTGCAGCGGTTTCCCCCACAGTCCAAACAAATGTGCTATAGGGGAAATGAATAAACTATTAAAGCATAGTGTATGAGTGTGAAAAAGTGTGTATTGGGGTTTCCCAGTACTGGGTTGCAGCCGGAAGGGATTCATATATGTAAAACAAATGCTGGAATAGTTGACGGTTCACCCCTAATCAATAAGGGACTAAGCCGAAGGAAAATGAATGAATGAACATTAGCAAACATGAATAAATACCGTAATAAATGTATTACCAATAGTTAGCTCATGTTAGTAAATACATTAAATAATGGACCCTCATTTTAAAATGTTACTGCATTTTCTTTTTATAGCCAAAAGATTTCTTCAAACAAGACTAATCAACTGCTTCTGCTGCTCTATTGAAGCAGCCATGTTGGCCACACATGCAGGATATAGACAAATCCAAACACAGCAGATTTTCCTTTCCATCTCTCCCTCTGTAACACATTACACTTTTTTTTTTTCAGCCGTCGTCCTCCACTGACCCCCAATCAGTTGTACCTTGTGTTGTGAGCCGGTTGTTCTGTAGATTGAGGGTCTCCAACTGCTGAAGACGGGACAGATGTTCCAGCGTGACCTCGCTGATCTGGTTATTCTGGGACATCGCAGAAAAAAACAACAACATGATGATATTTAAAGGGATTTACAGCATACAAATAGACTAAATCTGTCACAGTTTACTCACCCTCATGCTGTTCCAATCTTTCTTTCTTTCTTCTGTGAAACACAAATGGAGATGTTTAGCAGAACGTCCCAGCTGCTGTTTTCTACACAACGATAAGAGCACTCAAAAAAGGATTGTTTACCCCCCTGCTTGTTCAAACTACTTTTTTACAAGGAGCTGAATCTACGGAGACCCGGAAATGACGTAGTGGAGGAGAAAAAAAAAATGGCTGGGTGAAAAAAAAAAAATAAGTAAGAGAAAAAAAATGGGTGAAAGAAAAAAAAGGGTGGGAGGAAAACATATATTTCTAAGTTTTTTGCGTTCTCTCGCAAAGTTTTGAGTTCCCTCGCAAAGATGTTTCTCCACAAACACTTCCTGTTCACTTCACTCCCGTAAACCCTCCCGTTTTTGCCAAAATTCTCCCATATACCACTTTCTTTACATTAAAGCTGTGCGCCGATCGTCGCCTTTCTTATGCAACCTCTGAACCAGTGGATGGATGTATTAGGGCCGGAGCAAGTTGAACTGCCGCTCTAGGCAGAGGACGATCACGCCGCCCTCAACCCCAATGTGAAAACGAAGTGACCGGTTATGAAAATGAAGTTGTTGCGGACCTCTTTTCCGGCACACTATGCATGGCTATAACTTAAGACGCGCGGGTGCTGAGGGAGGGAGGGAGGGAGGTGTGGCGGATACTGCACTCTTTTTTCTGCCACCCTATGCGCAGATATAACTGAGGACACGCGGGTGTCGCGGACCTCAATTCTGCCGCCCTATGCACGGATATAACAAAGGACACGCGGGTGCTGATGGAGGCGTCGCTGACGCCGCCCTCTCTATTCTGTCGTCTATGCGCGAATATATCTGAGGACGCGGGTGGTAAGGGAGGTGTCGCGGACATAACTGAGGAGGCAGGAAGTAAGGGAGGTGTCGCGGACATAACTGAGGACGCAGATGGTAAGGGAGGTGTCGCGGACATAACTGAGGACGCAGGTGGTAAGGGAGGTGTTGCGGACATATCTGAGGAGGCAGGAAGTAAGGGAGGTGTCGCGGACATAACTGAGGAGGCAGGAAGTAAGGGAGGTGTCGCGGACATAACTGAGGACGCGGGTGGTAAGGGAGGTGTCGCGGACATAACTGAGGAGGCAGGAAGTAAGGGAGGTGTCGCGGACATAACTGAGGAGGCAGGAAGTAAGGGAGGTGTCGCGGACATAACTGAGGACGCGGGTGGTAAGGGAGGTGTCGCGGACATAACTGAGGACGCAGGTGGTAAGGGAGGTGTTGCGGACATATCTGAGGACGCGGGTGGTAAGGGAGGTGTCGCGGACATATCTGAGGACGCGGGTGGTAAGGGAGGTGTCGCGGACATATCTGAGGACGCGGGTGGTAAGGGAGGTGTCACGGACATATCTGAGGACGCCGGTGGTAAGGGAGGTGTCGCGGACATAACTGAGGACACAGGTGGTAAGGGAGGTGTCGCGGACATAACTGAGGACACAGGTGGTAAGGGAGGTGTCGCGGACATATCTGAGGACGCGGGTGGTAAGGGAGGTGTCGCGGACATAACTGAGGACGCAGATGGTAAGGGAGGTGTCGCGGACATATCTGAGGACGCGGGTGGTAAGGGAGGTGTCGCGGACATAACTGAGGACGCAGGTGGTAAGGGAGGTGTCGCGGACATATCTGAGGACGCGGGTGGTAAGGGAGGTGTCGCGGACATAACTGAGGACGCGGGTGGTAAGGGAGGTGTCGCCGACGCCACCCTCTCTATACTGCCGCCCTAGGCAGCCGCCTAGGTTGCCTCTATGGACGCGCCGGCCCTGGGATGTATAAGCGCTGACTGACAGACGTGCTCAGTACAATAAACTGATCCCAGATCAGTTTCTGTAGACGCCATTTAAAGTGACACCTCTGTTATAAAACAAGTAAGCAGCAAATGAATCTCAGGTTTTGTTTCGTTTGATAACAGAGCTGTCACTGTAAGAATGCACAAATCAATAATGAAAGCATTCCATTACTGTTTGTGCTCATTTAAGAGAAAATTAGCTGTTTAAAATAAAACATGCAGGATGGAGATGTTTACATATTTTTCAGTGTATTTGTCTGTTTAAACTAACACCCTGCGTTGTGAGCACTGACATGCATTCACAGGTTTAGAGGTAGCATATGAAAGGCGACGGTCGATGCACAGCTTTAATGTAAAGAAAGTGAATGCAGACATTTTAATATTAATTTAAGTGTGCTTTCAAGATTAAAAATATATCAGAAATATGGGAAAATACTTAATGATGGGATGATAGTGGGATAAAATGGTAAAATACGGGAGAATTTTGGCAAAAACGGGAGGGTTTACATGAACGTGAAAAGGAAGTATGTGTGGAGAAACAGTTTTGCAAGATAACGCAAAACATCTTTGTGAGGGAGCGCAAAAAAAAGCAAAAAAAAAACTCAAATTATGTTTTCCTATCACTCTGGGTTTTTTTTTCTTCCACCAATTTTTTTTGCTACACATTTTTTTTTTCCCCACCATCATATTCCTTCCGGGTCTCCGTATGAATCAACACAATTCTTGAGTTTTTTGGGGTCAACTTAATTGTTTAATGTTCAATCCACTTAAATATGTAAAAATAATTGAGTTATTTAATCAATTTGTGTAGGCACGACATGAAGAATTGTGTGGAACCCAGCATTTTTTACAACGAGCCTATGAATGAACTTCAAAATGACAAAAAAAAGCATGATACAAGTTCACACCACTTGTGCTTTTTAATTTAATAACAGAAATCTTATGATATATTTTTTTTCTTTTTATGAATAATCTGCTCTTCTGTTTGTCACAAAAAGCTTTCAAATGCCATGAGAAGGATTACAATGTGATGCACCAATCATGTGAACTACTAAAGTGGATTTTATTGTCATTTTTGAAGTTTAAAAGCCTAAATAAATAAATATTAATAACATTAATCTGGACATTCTGCATTCTTCATTTGTATTCCATAAAACAAAGAAAGACATTGACATGAGGGTGAACTTTTTTGGTTAATTAGTTAGGGGTCGTTACAGCCGACAAACCAACACAATCTCACGGCAATTCGTAACTTTTTCATTTAGTGGCTAATTCGTATGAATTCGTACGATCTAATTCGTACAATTTTGTACGATTTGCTTATCCCCCAATGACGGTTGGGGTTAGGGGTGGGGTCAGGTGCCACGCCTCCTTTTTAAAATCGTACCATTTCGTACGACTGAACTCGTACAGCATATGTTTCATGCAGTGGATTCCTTTCCAGCTGCAACCCAGTACTGGGAAACAACCAAACACTCTCACATTCACAAACACTCTCATATAGTACACTACAGCCAGTTCATTCAATTCCTCTATAGCGCATTTCTTTGGACTGTGGGGGAACCGGGGCACCTGGAGGAAACCAACGGCAACATGAGAAAATGCAAAACTCCAGAAACGCCGATTGGCCCAGCCGAGCCTCGAAGTAGTGAACTTCTTGCAGTGAGGCCACTGTGCTAACCACTGAGCCACTGTGTAGCCTATTTTTTGGTTATGTATTGCTAAAATATTTTCATGTAATGTGCATATTATGCTTAAATGATCATGTAACAATGAAGACTGGAGGAATGATGCTGAAAATTCTATTTCGAATTGCAGGAATAAATTATATATAAAAATATGTTTAGGTTGTAATTACATTGAACAATATTACTGTTTTGTTATATTTTTTTATAAAATAAATGCAGCCTTTGTGAGCTAAAGAGACTTCTTTCGATCTTTCGAAACATTATATATATATATATATATATATATATATATATATATATATATATATATATATAAGACTTCGTATATATATATATATATACAGTTAAAGTAAGAATTATTAGTCCCCCCTTTGAATTTGTTTTCTTTTTCCAATATTTCCCAAATGATTTTAACAGAGCAAGGAAATTTTTACAACATATCTGATAATATTTTGTCTTCTGGAGAAACTCTTATTAGTTTTATTTCGGCTAGAATAAAAGCAGTTATGAATTTTTTAATACCCATTTTAAGGTCAAAATTATTAGCCCCTTTAAGCTATATTATTTTTCAATAGTCTACAGAACAAACCATCATTATACAATAACTTGCCTAATTCCCCTGACCTGCCTAGTTAACCTAATTAACCTAGTTAAGCCTTTAAATGTCACTTTAAGCTGTATAGAAGTGTCTTGAAAAATATCTAGTCAAATATTATTTACTGTCATCATGACAAAGATAAAATAAATCAGTTAATAGAGATGAGTTTTTAAAACTATTGTGTTTATAAATGTGTTGAAAAAATCTTCTCTTTGTTAAACAGAAATTGGAGAAAAAAAAACAGGTGGGCTAATAATTCCTATCTATATATATATATATATATATATATATATATATATATATATATATATATATATGTATATATATGTAACGTAATTAGGGCGACATGGTGGCTCAGTAGTTAGCACTGTGGCCTCACAGCAAAACGGTCGCTGGTTCGAGTCCCAGCTGGGTTTGTTTGGGTTTCTGTGTGGAGTTTGCATGTTCTCCCCGTGTAGGCATGGGTTTCCCCCACAGTCCAAACACATGAGCTATAGGTGAATTGGATAAACTAAATTGGCCGTAGTGAATGAGTGTGTGTGAATGTGAGCGTGTATGGGTGTTTCCCAGTACTGGGTTGCAGCTGAAAAGGTATCCGCTGTGTAAAACATATGCTGGATAAGTTGGCAGTTCATTCCGATGTGGAGACCCCTGACGAATAAAAAGAATAAGTTGATGGAAAATGAATGAATGAATAACTAACTGAATTAAAATACCCTATTAATTATAATAATTAGAATATAATTTCTAGAAAAAAATATATATGATGAATTTAAAATTCAATACAAAATTTGATTAAAATAAAAAATACAACTATGATGCATTGTGCAAACATTTGGGGGGGGGGGAGTATGATAAAATAAGCAAAACAAAAATAAGTAAATGAACTCACTAGAAAAAAAACATGAAACTTTAATAAATAAATAAAAATCTACATTTACAGTTGAAGTCAGAATTATTAGTCCCCTGAATTATTCGCCCCCTTGTTTTTTTATTTTCCCCAATTTCTGTTTAACAGAGAGCAGATTTTTTTCAGCACATTTCTAAACACAATAGTTTAAATAACTCATTTCTATTAACTGATTTATTTTATCTTTGCCATGATGCCAGTAAATAATATTTGACAAGATATTCTTCAAGACACTTCTATACAGCTTAGTGACATTTAAAGGCTTAATTAGGTTATTTAGGTTAACTAGGCAGGATAGGGTAATTTGGCAAGTTATTGTATAATGATGGTTTGTTCTGTAGACTATTGAAAATAAAAATAGCTAATAGGGGCTAATAATTTTGACCTTAAAATGGATTTTAATTATTTAAAAACTGCTTTTATTCAAGTTGATATAAAGCAAATAAGACTTTATCCAGAAGAAAAAATATTATTAGACATACTGTGAAAATGTCCTTGCTCTGTTAAACATTGATTAGGAAAAATTTTAAAAAGGAAACAAATTCAAAAGGGGGCTAATGATTCTGACTTCAGCTGTTTATTTTTATTTACAGCTGAAGTCAGCATTATTAGCCTAGTTAAACAATAGGATACAATAGGATCTCTTCAATCACTATAAATGTCTTTTGTATGTTATAAAGGGGTCCGTTGCATGACCATGATCATAATGGCCCTTCTAAAATAAGGGGAACACCAGACCTCCTACATCTTAAACATTTTTAAATGCTTGGAAAATATACTCTGCCAAGTTATGATGAGGAAAATGTGCTTCAGAGGAATCTGCAAACAAACCCACGCACCTGCAGTGAGAGCTGTCACGTCTGTTCAGATAAATCCTGCGGGAATTCAGAGACTCACTCCATTACAATCCACCACCCCCTCACCACTTTGCTATGATGACAGTACACTAATATCTGATTTGTGATTTTGCAAGATACTAGTATTCAACTTAAAGGGGACCTATTAATTAAACATCACTTTTTTAAATTGTTTAAACACTGTTGTGTGGTTGTGTGGCTTCTAATGGTAAAAAAACAAATTATTAATTTAACTTTTTATAGTCACACTTGATAAAAACAGTCTGCCGAAACACTTTGATTGACATTCTCCTTTTGCATGTGTTATCAGAAGGGGGAAGCCCCACCCATTAGTAACCATCTCTTTCTTATTAGCATAGGACGTCAGTCTAGTTTTTTAATCTGCCACTATGATGACACACAGGCATTGTAGCTCTGCACTCTTTTAAAAAGAGCACAATCTCATTTGAATTTAAAGCGACAATCACCAAAATGGCACAATTAGGATCAAAGCATAAAAAGGGTCAGTTTCAAAAAGTCATAAAACTTTATTTGTGTGATATTTTAAGCTAAAAACTTCACACACACACACACACTGAGGACATCAGAAGTTTACTTTATATCTTGTAAAAAAGGTATAATAGCGTTCATTTTACACACAAAATCCAGCCATATACACCCATGAGCACATATTTTTTCGGTTCTCCAAAATGTAGCCCTGGGCACATTTTCCCAATGAGCCAGGGATGCTATGACAAGTCTAAATTACTACGTCTACAAGTCCAGTTTTTTGTTATTATTATGATGATATATTCGCATGATCAGGTGTTGAAAGAGAAAATTGTGTGTATTAATCATCATTACAATTGTATCCACCTATTTTTCTCTCCTTACCTGTAGTGAGAGCTGCCGGGTCTGTTCAGATAAATCCTGCGGGAATTCAGAGAGACTCACTCCATTACAATCCACCGCCCCCTCGCCGCTGCAGCTGCATTTCTCCGGACAGGATACCTTTTCCTCTGCATTTTTCACCTCCTCTGCTTCCTCTTCATCCAGCAGGTGGAGATCGGTTTCTGTCTGACCGCGAACAATCAGAGTCCAGCCCAGCAAAAGCAAACACATGAGCTCCAGCAGCCCGCACCGCTCATCCATCGCACCCGGGACAAACAACAGTGGAAGAAACTCCTGAAGGACTGGACCAGCTCTGAGTATTTTAAAGAAAAGATGTCATTAAAAAAACTTGCGAGAATTACAATGATCATGTCAATTTAAAGGAGTCCTGACATGTGAAATTAACTTTGACAAATAGTTGAAAACCAAATTATTAGTCCTCTTTTGGAATTTTTATATTTTTTCAAATACTTGCCAAGTACTGTTTTTTTAAACTTAACTCATTTCTAATTATTAATTTTTTCGTCTTTGCCATGATGACGGTACATAATATTTACTACTTTTCAAGATACTAGTATTTAGCTTAAAGTGCAATTTAAAGGCTTAGCTAGGTTTATTAGGTTAACTTGTCAAGTTATGGTAATAAGGCAATATTGAGTCATTGGACAACAGTTAAATGCTTTTTAGCCAACAGAAAAATTTAATTTCTTCATTAGGCTAATAATATTAACCTTGAAAAAAAATTTTTTTTTAAATAGTAACCAAAAAATTTACATTAAAAAAAAGCAATCGAAAAAATTTAACCCAAATAATGTAACTAAAAAAATGTAACCAAAAAAATGTAATCGAAAAATTTAACCCTAATAATGTAACAAAAAACATAACCAAAAAATTTAACCAAAAAAATGGAACAAAAAAATTAACCAAAAGATTCAACCAAAAATTGTAATCGAAAAAATGTAACCCAAATAATGTAACAAAAAACGTAACCACAAAATTTAACCAAAAAAATGGAACAAAAAATTTAACCAAAAGATTAAACCAAAAATTGTGACCAAAAAAATGTAACCAACAAAGTAACGAAAAAAGTAACCAAACTAATGTTATATAAAAAGTACCAAAAAAATTACCAAAAAAAGGTAACTAAAAAAGTAACCAAAAAAATGTAAATTAAAATTTTTTACCAAAAATATAAATAAAAAGTAACCTAATGAATGTAACAAAAAAGTACCAAAAATTTTACCAAAATAACGTAAACAAAAAATAATAAAAAAAGACTTAAGCGGAAAAAAAAAAACAAAAAAATGTAACTCTAAAATTGTACCCCAAAAAAAAAAAAACGAACCAAAAAATTGTAAACAAAAAAAGTAATCAAATGAATGTAACAAAAAAGTACAGAAAAAAAAGTACCAAAAAATTTGTACGCAGAAAAAGAAACTGCAAAATGTAACTGAAAAACTGAAATACATATAGACCTTCACTTTTTAAGAGTAATTAAATACTGCTTTTATTCCAGCCAAACTAGAGGAAATCAACAACCCTGGCTCATCGTAGATACGTACCCAGTTTGCATTTCTGGGGACATTGAAATACATACCCACAGGTATGTCCGCTCGCAGTTTTTGTTTTTTTGCAAACCCAGTAGAGGCTGCTTCAGCTGACAAGGCCAGCTTGCAGTGGACTGACTGATTAACTGACCCAACCACCCCCTTCCCTAAACCCAACCGATCTAGAAAATTAAGCCATCGCGGCTGCTTCATTTCACCACGTTTTGAGCCTGTTGTTTATTTATTTATTTATTTTTGATTTTGTTTTACCTGGTTTCTAGAACTGTTCTTCGCCAGACTCAAACCCCATCGTTGCGATGTAACTATGCATTCCAAGTCCACCAACGTACATAGCGAACTACTGGGAAAACTGGTAACACTGGAAAAGCTGTCCACACGGAGGCAAGCTGTCAGCTGGTAGCGCAAAAAGGAACAAAAGCCGTCGGTGGTGTCATATCACCCCATAGCGTTCATTTTACAGATTAAATGGATCCAGATGTACCTCAGGGTACATAATTTGTGGTCTCCAGAAATGTAGACAGGGGTATGTATCCACAATGAGCCTCATTCATTCACTCATTTTTTTTCGGCTTAATTCCTTTATTAATCTGGGGATGCCACAGCGGAATGAACAACAACTTATCTAGCATATGTTTTATGCAGCGGATGCCCATGCAGCTGCAACCCATCACTGGGAACCATTCACAATGAGCCACAGTGAGTGCCTTACTCTGTTAAACATCTCTTGGGAATTATTTGAAAAATAATACAAATTTTATGAACATTTTTGACTTCAACTCTTGTATATAATTATACTTCTAGTAATTCTTGATATGCCAAATGATTAAAAGTTAATGTGAATCTACAGTTTAAAAAGGACTGACACACTCTCATTATGTGATTCATTATTTACCAGGCAGATAAACCAGCAATTATTATGGCGCTCCAAATGATAATGTGATTTATTTCGCTACAGTAAATGAACACAGCTCTGGATTCATTCACAAACTGCTGATCTGAGAGCAGATTTTTTTTTTTTTCATGGAAAGCCCAACATTCCACGTCTGAAGCCTGATTTCCCAAAGTCCTACTAAGGAATTGGAAGGAAAACGAACTGGGAAGAAATTCTGGATTGAGTTCCAACAATCACAAACAGGTGTCTAACATAAACACGGTTCACATCGCTTAGAGAGGACAAGACTTTTTAGAAAAATCTCAGTCTAATAACCAGTGTAGTGCAAAGAGGAATCACACTGAAGCAGCTCTAAAGCAGCTTTTCACATTTATGAAATTCAAATATTTATCAAATATTAGATAATATACAAATGTTGTTAAATGTAGAGAAGATTATTTTCAACACTATATTTTAAATTACCTTTTATTAAAATTTTAGCTGATTTTATTGTTATTATTATTATTATTATTATTATTATTACAAAAAAATTAATTAACTTATTTAAATTTTAGCTCATTTTATTATTATTATTATTAATATTATTGTTATTAATAGTAAAATAATAGTTAATGAACATTTTAAAATTTACTTTTTATTTCAGATTGTTATTATTATTATTGTTATTATTATTATTACAAAAATAGTAAAAAAAAATTAATTACTTTAACTTAAATAATTTAACTTAAGTAAAGGTTTTATTTAAATTTTTATTTTACTTTAAGTTCATTTTATTATTGCTATTATTATTATTATTATTATTATTATTATTATTATTATTATATTAAAAAGATAATGATTTTTTAAATTAACTTTTATTTTAATTTGAGATTATTTTATTATTAATCATATTTATTATTATTATTATTATTATATTAAAAACATAATTAATGAATATTTATAAATTACCTTGTATTTTAAGCCCATTTTACTGTTATTATTAAAAATATTTATTATTATATTACAAAAAATATAGTTATGAATATTTATAAATTAACTTATTTTATTTTAGCTCATTTTATCATTACTGTCATTATTATCACTAAAAATAATAGTTAATGAATAATTAAATAAACTATTATTATTATTATTATTATTATTATTACAAAAATAATAAATAAATATTTTTAAATTAACATTCATTTTATTTTAGCTAATTATTATTATTATTTTATTATTATTATTACTATTTTTATCATTATTATTATCATTATTATTATTATCATTTTTGTTATTATTATTATTATTATTATTATTAATTTTATTATTATATTACAAACATTATAGTTAATATTTTTTTTATAAACTTTAATTGTAATTTTAGCAAAAAAATTATTATCATCATCATCATTACAAAAAATGATAGTTAATGAATATTTAAAATATTATATAATAAATAATAAATATTATAGCGCAGTAAGTAGTGCTGTCGCCTCACAGCAAGAAGGTCGCTGGTTCGAACCTCGGCTAGGTCAGTTGGCATTTCTGTGTGGAGTTTGCATGTTCTCCTCGTGTTTGTGTCATTGCCATTATTAATTGAGCCTTTTCTACAACTTCTAGTAAACATTGTAAAAATTATAATAATCCAATATTTACTCATTTTCAATGCTACAATTAGCGAAAGAAGAGCATGTGGTGTATTACTTTATAAACTTACTATTTTAAAGTAATGAATAGCTTTTTATCTCAATCTTTGTTACATAATCTCAATAATCAAATTCAATAAATCAAATTGCTTTAACTAATCGACAAGTTGAACTTATTTTAAAAAGTAAGTAAATATATTGTAACTGAGATGACTTATTTTCAAAATCATGCAAATTGTTCATTAATCATATTAAGGCAGTGGGATTATTGCTTTATTCGCAACTGTTTTATGCATTATTACAGTTCTGCACATGAGTTTAATTCGCAGCTTTAAATGGAAACACAGCTAGTGGCAACACTCCTCCAAACACACAATGGCCATTGTTTTATCAACATCATTTGTTAACAGCATCCTTGCCAAACGAACATAGATGTAAGCATTTCCCCAAACCACAGCCATTAACAAAACCCAGAGAAATGACAGCCTGTTCCAAACATTGGTCAAGACTCAACCCTGACCTTAATATCAATCCAGTATAAACAAGTACAGTGATCCAGAAACATGGCCTGCCTGGCAAACTCAAACACCAGCAAGCCAAATATCACTTTCACTGATGAACAGCATGCAGAGCAGACACTTTATGCAGAGCAACAGAGATTTAAAGGTCTGAGACAACAACAGCATAAATATTATGACAGAAAAGGCTTAACAGTAAGAATCTTTAACATCTATTACATCTTTCCATTGCACAAGACAAAATTATTCATTCATTTTCCTTCAGCTTAGTCCCTTATTTATCAGGAATCGCCACAGTGGAATGAACCGCCAACTATTCTGGCATATGTTTTATGCAGCGGATGCCCTTCCAGCTGTAACCCAGTACTTGGAAACACCCATACACACTCATTCACACCCACACTCAAACACTATAGCCAATTTAGCTAAGTATATCAACTATAGCGCATGTGTTGAGACTGTAAAGGAAATCTGAGCCGCTGGAAGAAGCCCACACCAACACAATACATACAAAATATTGTGCTGATAATTTTGTTTTCACCTATAGACTATTAAACTTGAAAAGAATGTAAAAACTAATTATCCCCACCTTGACCACAAATCTTCGTAATGCACTATACACATTTAAAGCTGCATGAAACTCCCTTTTCCCATGTTGTGACGTACATCTGATTAAAACTTCCTAAGGATGAAAATAAATTAAGGACGGTGCATG